CGCAAAACTTCATTCATTATCAAACGATCAGTTCACAGGTACCACGATATGTGGAAAATGTCATTTCAAGTAACCATGTGATTTCATTAACATTTTGTTGTTATTTTTCATAAAATGTTGTGATGCACCTTTTTGATGAAATGTGAAGTGAACAACGTAAGTAACAATATATGTGCAGGATAATACGAGCTTGTTTTATTGCGTGGAGATTATATTCAACCATGTACATCCTAAACATTAGCAAAATATAAGTTACAAAGTTTTTTGAACAAATGGTTTCTACACTGATAAAATATGAATTGGTTTTTTAATATTTTGTATGAATTTAGCAGATCTACTGCACCAGAAAGTTAAAAATGCTTAGTCACCATCTGATTTTAGTGGCATTTTAGCTGGTGTTCGTTAGCGATGCAACCTTATGTACATCTTAGGACGGTAGCATTCGGAAGTTGATTAATTCAGTTACACCGTGTTAACCTTCTTGAGGAAAGTTATTGGAGACAAAATATTGCTTAGCTATAATGCAGCTGTTTATTTCGCAATATCTGAGTAAAGCCAAATGCTGGATGTTGACCTTTCAGTGTCTGTTCATAGTATGGTCAAAAATAGAATTTAAAAAAATTAGGTGATTTAATTTGTATATACCTTCATTTTCTTCTTGTGATTTTTAGGCTTATTCAGACCAACACGGTCGACTCGTAAATTGCAAAATACACATATTCATTTCACATTTTCATCTATCAGTGGTATTATTTTTCGAATCTTTGTCTTATTCCATCTGTATCCAACATAAAAATCCACAACAGCTGATTGCTGTCCACTGCGTTCTTCAGTTGATTTTTTGGTATCATATAATAGTTAATTTGGCAGACTACACTTTTTGAATTTTCGAGATAACACTTTTTTTCGAGTATTGGTTTGTAGGGAATTGATTGATTGGTTACAAGATTTCATCATGAGCTGACATTGGTTAGAGAACCATTGGAAAACCTGGGAGTACTGGACAGCCATTTGTTTCGTCCTAGTTTGGGACTCTTCATCAGCACAAACCCACCGTCACGGTTCGAATCCAGGACCTCCTGGTTACAAGGCGAGCTGGTAGACCACTAGCCAATGTCTTCAAAGAGTATTAGTCCTCACACCTGACCTGCTGCACCCTACTGGTCACAGCTTACTACTAGAACCCCAAATAACTGCCTACCTGAATAAGGCCAGTCGGTAGTGAGTATCTCATTGATTTTCAAGTATTCAGGTAGGTAGTTACCTGGGGTTCTAATGTGACGTCGTAACCAGTAAGGTGAGGTGTGAGGACAAATACTCGCTGAAGACATTGTGAAGTGGTCGCGCTATGTCGTGAATTGGCAGAATTTGGAATTCGTGGACTGGCCATTGGATTGGGTCCCAGTGGCTTAATGGTCTACGAGCTCGCCTTGTAACCAGGAGGTCCTGGATTCGATCTGTGGTGGTGGGTGTGTACTTCTGAAGAGCCCCAAACTAGGATGAAACAGCTGGCTGTCCGGAACTCCCAGGTTTTCCAGTGGTTATCTAAGCGATGTCAGCTCATGATAGAGTCTTGTATCCAAATAAATTTTTATTCAACTTTTAAAGCAATGTTAAGTCTATTACTTTGAGCTATCCATGTAGTGTGCTCCTGACAAGATCTAGAAGTAGTATATAGACACAGCTCCTTTTATTTCGCTCTCTCTCTATGTATATATACATATATATGTATATAACCTGCAAGAATGTCGACTAGTTGAGAGATGAATATAATGACGAAGAGAAGAAATGGACGATTCTTGAGAAGAAACGTGGGAAACACGAAAGGAGGATAAAAGAAGTACAGTACGTAGGACAGCTGCAAATTGTGGCTTCAGTATACTGTATTTATATATTCTGTCTATATCTGTGCATTGATCTGCCGAAAGATAATTCTTTCAGCAAATATTCTTGTATTCTGCTGCCACACATAAACGGAGTCACTTCAGTAAATGTCACATAAGCCTAATTTACTAATAATGTCATCATTTAACAATGTGTAGCATGATACTATTAAACAATCAACTGAACTGTCTCACATTCAGATTCCTGACTTAATATCTTACCTTAATTCCAAATAAAGAAACCACATTAATGATAAAGAAAACTACCTCGGTAAACCTACTTTCGTTAAACAATATAAATATGATACTTCATACATTTATTCCTCCTATTGAACTTGAATAAAGCAATAAAAACCAGCGGTGTGTGCAGAATAAGATGGTACTAACATTTATTTCTTTGGCTTCTCATCACCTACATACAGACTCAAGAAATTATGAAGTCTATGTACAGAACAATTTTAACATACTTGTAAAGTTTACATGATGCCAGTTGACAGGAGGCTCCAAACTTAGTGAACAGTGCTCAGAAAATAACACTTATATAGTTTTTACCCAGAGAGTTCAAGTTTAAACGAAATTCAGTCTATGCATACAATTGCTAACTAGTTACGTTATGGAGACAAGAGATCAGTAGGATGTGAGTAACTAGGACACTGAATAACAGTGTAGTTGTGGTGGTGTGATGCAGACAGTGTATGACAACGGAATATTATTCTCCCATATTCCCACAGTTCAATTCGGCATTAGCAACAGAATACAATACATCTATTTGAACATTTAGTTTGATGTTAGAGACAGAAAACATTTCCCAAGGGTTATTTACTGTATTAAGAAAAATACTACGTATATCTGAACATTCTATTTCATGTCGTTTTATGTAAACTGGAATCACAAGCTCAGTAATTATTATTATTATATCCTTTAATTCCTACAGTAACATAGGGCTTCAGCCGTCTGTCTCCATTGCGTTCTGTTCTCTGTTAGGGTCTTCACCTGGCTCCAAGTCTGCCCACACGTTTTCATCTCCTCTTCACATGACCTCCTCCAAGTCACCTTTGGACGACCAACTCGCCGCTTCCCTTTCGGGTTCCACTCAAGGGCTTGTCTAGTGGTGTGACTTGATGGTTTCCTCAGAGTATGGCCAATCCATCTCCATTTCTTCCTGACTATTTGTTTCATAATCGGTTCCTGGTTGGTTCGTTCCCAAAGATCCCTGTTGCTGATCTTTTCTGGCCATCTGATCTTGAGTATTGAGCGAAGACAACTGTTAATGAAGGTCTATGATTTCGGTATCATTTTGGTTAACTGTAATTGACTGTGACATTATTATTGTATATATATTGACGGATTTACATGATCAAGTTGGCTCAAGTCAGTGAGTCTATGATTTTGGTATCATTTTGGTTAACTGTAATTGACTGTGATATTATTATTGTTGTTGTCGCTTGTTACCCTTCTTGTTGTGAATTATTTTCCCGTGCTGGTGTTTTTCTGCTTGTTTATTCCCTGTTTTCCTGGTTTTTAAGGGGAGCAACCCACAAGGTCGCTTCTCTCTAAATTATAAATTGATGTAACAACCCTCCTTCTCAGGCGTGAGGCTAGCAACCCCACCCTGTAAACAAACCTGCTACAGAAACTTCAGCACGATGTATCTCCTTGAGACAAAAGAAAAAGTCTTTGTGGGGACATGGAATGTCCGTACTTTGTACGAGATTGGCAAAGCTGCCCAGATCGCAAACGAAATGAAAAGATACAAAATTCAAGTACTGGGAATATGTGAAAGCTCAGTAATTGGTTAAAGAATATAAAGTGTACATATATAAACAGCGGCTTAATCAATAGAAAATACACCTTGGCTTCCGTGTCTTGTCTTCTGCTGTTACGTATTAAGTTATACTACATCAATGTATCACTATGTAACATCTCCTTCTTTGATATAGTTTAACTTTTTTTGTCTCCTGTTTCTATAATTTGATTTTGAACCAACTATATTTTTCGTGCTAAGGTGGCACATTGGTAAAATGCTCGCCAACCACGCAGGTGTTTCGGGATTCAATCCCCGGCCAACGCGAGCCTTTACCTCGCTAAGTCAAGAATGAAAGTGGTAAGGAAAGAAGGTCGGGCATCAAGCCAGCAAACCCATCCTGTAAAATTAAACACCTTTACTACCGAAACTTCAAGCCAGTAACCTGAAGCCCTATTTCCACTGGGAAAGTAAAGGAATAAAAAAATATTCTTACTCAGTGTATTAGTTACTCATCATCCAACTGATCTCCTGTCTCTATTACGTAACCACTGAGCAACTGTATGCACTGACTGAATTTCGTCTAATCTTGAACTCTCTAGGTAAAGACTATATAAGTGTTATTTTCTGAGCACTGTTCACTAAGTTTGGAGCCTCCTGTCAACTGGCATCATGTAAACTTTTCGAGTATGTTAAAATTGTTCTGTACATGAACTTAGAAATTTCTTGAGTGTGTATGTAGCTGATGGGAAGCCAACGAAATAAATGTTAGTACCATCTTATTCTGCGCAAACCGTTGGTTGTTCTTACTTTATTCAAAATGAATATGATACACAAAGTTTACGTTATCTTATGTTCAACACGGCGAACGACAGGCGTACAGTGAATTTCGCTGGGTTTGTAGGTAAGTGGCACTATACAGACATACTCGTCTACGATTAATATTTTACCTTAATATTGTCAGAATATTGAAATATCTAGAGTTTAAACGTGGAATTTCGAACTCAAACGGAACTACTGATAATGACCTTGTCTTCCAAAGACATAAGTTCTGCATTCCATAATAAAAGATTTCAGTCACTTATCGACAGTTTTGTGGATCCCAATAGGCTGTTAACAACGACTGTTATGAAAGTATATTTGAAAGATAATAACAGACACTTGTCTAATACAGCTTCGATTACACAATGTCAAATCTTGTTCACCTGGTTAGCAAGCACTACTGGATGGTTTCCAACTACTTAATTATTGATCAGTAGTATGTAAACAGCATCACCATAATGATTTACACTGGTTCACAATTAACATTATTCAGTTAAGTAATATTGTTCAAAACAAAACCATTATACACAAATAGCCCGGTAGTATTATAACAGGAAATAAAAGTCGTACACCATATTGTAATACTAAAATTCTTTTTTAAGAAATTAACAAATTTTTCAATTCCGTGTTTTGATTATTCTCATAATTTCTCTTTTGAATGAAAAAAGATAATATTTGGTATCAGCATTCAATGACTGACAGTTGATTTCATAGATTTACAAAAAATTCATGGCTTCTTGGATCAAATGGTGATTGGGATGGGTATTCATCTCTACGATGCGGAAACCATATCAGTTTACTTTTTAACGAATTGACTCCATCTTCACTAAAGTCTGTTAACTCAGAGACTGATTTACTGTTTATATCGTCAATTTCTTCCGAAGTCTTTCTCAATGATTGATTACTTTCATGTGTTTGATTAGTATTTTCGTCGTGTGATTCACGTACCTAAAAATATTCAGCAAACGACACAAAATTAACTAGCAACAACTTAAATTTGTTAAATTTCAAAACACGGTATCCAGGATACGTGTTTTTTATAAACACAACTTACATTTTACTTTATAAAAGTGCAGTCATTCATCAACCAACGTAATATCAGCCGACTGGATGAATGATGGAACGTGTCATCACTTATGAACGATGAAACGTGACGTTTATAAAGATTCTCTTTCCTATGCTATTAGTTTGTAGAGAAGGTGAAGTATGATAAATATAACGACACCTGCTATCTGGTACTAACTAAAGGTGCCTTAACTTCTAACAAGATTAAATATATAGTAATATTGACATGCCAAGAAGTGAAACGTTTTCATTACACTAGAGACATTAAATAATCTCGTCGCTTTTATGCATTTCTGTTTTGTGAAGTATGTACAAATATCATTTTGTCTAGCTACAAAGCTTATCAGAACAATGAGAAGACATAATTCATCTGATACGTGCAGAGTACTTCCACAACATATTTTGGACATTCTGATCATACATGTACTTCTCATATCTATTTATTGTTTCGTCCAAATTCATAAAGGTACCTGATTATTTTAAAGTTTGTTGGAATTAACATAAATGCGAAGGGCATATTTGCCGGGACCATCATCCACTTTTGACTGTTGCATTTGACCTATGAAAAACGCTGAAGTTACTTGAAGTCACAGAGGTTCATAAATACTCTATTCAGGATAGTTGATCCCACTGAAGCATTGATTTTATTTTATTTTTTTTAAATTTTTATTTATTTTGATTATAGCTTGAAACCACACAGTATTTTTGGTACTAGTATGGAATTTTCAGCATATGATATTGGTAGCCCAAATTTTGCAGGCCGACCACAGATACCAGTTGCACATCGGCAGGGGATCGAAACCCGGACCATGTGCATGGTCGGCGAGAGTTCTAACCGCTGTGCCACCGAAATACTAAATTTGCCATGGCATCAAAGCAATGAAACTTAATTAACTTACGATAGTAAGTAAAACCAATATAACTTACTGGTAAGTCACCGTTAGTTAGGTTCTGCTTCTCGTAGCTTATACTATTCATTGTCTGATGGTTCAATAAAGAGTATTTTCTTTTATTCGCTTCATTTTTAGAACGTATCGATGAATTGAAACGTTCCAGATTATTTGCAGCATTAGCTGAACCAAAATTGGAATGATACTGAGCTGCCGTAATACGAATAGGAGGAATCTCGGCAGTTAATGCCGCCTGACGAGCATTTCGAAGTTGATTTCGAGCAACATCAAGAACATTCATCCGATTTCCATGTACATCCTTTAGGTAATGAGGACGGAGTAAGTCTTTACCATCGACTTCTAGTATTATGTGACCTGGAGCTAAACTACCTTCAAAACTTGCAGGTGAATCAGGTTCAATACTTTCAATAGTTACCACATCAAATGATAATTCCGCTTGTTGTATATCTACTGTTGGGAAAGTACCACTATTAGGTGATCTCACTCGTGGTTTTGAACCATTTAAACGATTACTCGAGTGAACAGAATTGATACTTTCATTTGAATCTTTTTTACCATACTTATCACTATATTGTAGTTTTTGAAGTGTATCAGCTCGCTGTACATCATCCAAAGGAAATTTAGTTAAGCATAAACGTAGACCAAGTTGATCACTTAAACTTGGAAGATTCGGGTCTAACAATACCCGATATATATCACAGTGATGTAAAACATCAAAAAGCGATGGATACGATTCAGAGTAGTCTGTATTAAAAGTTGTGGCACGCGTTTTCGTGCACCCATGTACTAGGATATTAGCTCCTTTATGATTTGTTTTCTTTGATGAACTGTTTGCTGGTTTTGTATTTGTTAGGGCATTTTCTTTCAGTGAGATTATTTTTTCATCACCCATGGCAGAAACATCTGATGAAGACAATCGACTGGTAGAATTGCGCATAGCTTCAAAATTATACGTAAAAAGCTTTTGTACCAGAGTGGGTGAATGCTGTTGAGAGGGAAATGGCAAAATATTATTGGGGATAAAATGATTCGGTGATAGATTAAGCTGCATTCCGTATTGTTGGGATATATTTAATTGTGTCGGTATTTCAGCTGCTAAGGTAAGCATATTTTCTCTTGAAACACTGGACACATTCACATCTGAGTCGTTCAACTGAGAAGCAATCATAAGAGAAGACTGTGTATTGTGATTTCCATTCTGTAAAGTATGAACACCATTGGACACGATTTGATGCTTTTTATCTGGACTGAAAACTTCATCACTGTGATTTGAAGTGAATGTTTCTAAAGAAAAATATAGTTAAGCACTCATTCAATAGATGTTGCGAACAAAAATTTTCAAATATTCGTCCAAAGAATCACGCTACAACAGCGGCATAATTTTCCTTTTACATGACACTACTTCACTAAATAGGGGTGGAAATGTTAATTTAAGGAATCTTCAACATTTAGAATATAATATCTATCTCCAGACAAACTTTAACGATGGTTTATCTTGTAAAGTTAGGCAAAGTAAGAGTTTATAAAATAAATACCATATTTTCACGAGTTGATCACGGATTGATATCAGTTAGAGAACCACTGAAAACCAGCGAGTACTGAACAGCTGTTTCATCCTAGTTTGGGAATCATCGGCAGTACGCACCCACTACCAGGGTTCGAACCCAGAACCTTCTGGTTACAAGGCAAGCTCATATACCATTCAGCCACTGGGACCCGATTCAATGGCTCATGAATTCTAACTTCTACCAGTTCGGGATTTAGCGCGACCCCAACCAATGTCGCTGTGGGACATCCATCCTCACACTTGACTGGATGGACCTCACTGGTCATGACTTCTCACTAGAACTCCAGAAAACTCCATCAGATGATTCCCAAACTAGGATGAAACAGCTGTTCAGTACTCCCTGGTTTTCAATGGTTCTGTAACTGATATCTATCCGTTATCAACTCTTAAAAACAAAACTAATCCTTGCAAGCCAACTATAGAAAATACTATATTTCAGTCATTCAAATCAAACCACCATGCATCTTATTATTTAACTATTCTTTGTACATGTTGATAATTGACTAGAGTAATCAGAGAATAAATTATCGAAAACACTTTATCAGTTAACGTCCATTCAAATGAGAAAAATATCAACAATGCAATGGGTTGTAAATACTACTCACATGTTGGCGGGACAGTAAGAACATCTGATCACTTTGCTTTATTCAATATTTCAGTAAGTTTGCAAAACAGGTTTGTTAAGAGTGGTTCAATCCAGAAGACAATATTGACGCTACTCTTTTATCCAACATTGTTATCCAACAATGCTAAATGAGAAAATACTATGGTCATCCTGCCGCCTTAGTCATATTACAGTATTTCAACGGAGAATATTCTTTTCAATAATTTCTCTTCAGGTTCTTACAATTATAAAATATAATATTTGTTGTCGTTACAATAATGGCCAGTTATGAGGTGGATACATTTTTACGTAGAATAACAGATTAGTTGAGGGGTGACAAAAAATTAATAGTAGTATTGGTGTGACAAACGTGCCAGGCTGAATTGAATTACAAAATATTGTGAAACAGGAGAAAATGGTGGTGACTAGTCATAACAGATTCGTAGAATGTGCGGTAGGAAAAATCGACTAGTCAGATCAAAGTTATAAAAGGTGTGAGGTACCAAGTATGTCATAAGGAGGAGATAGTAAGACTTCAGTGAGAGGTTCACCATAAAATAACCAATATGTGAAATGAAATAGGTGGAATTATGCATTTAGAAAACAGACAATATCACTAATAATAAGTCCAGACAATAGAAATGGAAAATTTGATGGTACTGAAAGAATGTTTGAATAAGGGGTATAATTTATAACTAATATTAAATACTGTAATAACTGACAAAGCAAAAGAAGAAAAAACCAAGAAGGATAAGGGGAAGCGGTTCCCTTGCTGAGAAGAAGAAACTTTAATCCAAGTCTCGCCATGACGGAAACAGCATCTAAACGTGTTATGTTCGGATTTAAAGTTCCAGTTTGGTCGAAATTATTGAAACGTCTTCAGCTGTATGTTGGAGACGTAAGCAAACTCTACTTAATGACAACTTTGGAATTCGGTATATAACCGTGAAGGCTGTGTCAGAACCGACCCGATGTCCAGTACCGAACAAGTGTGACTGAATCGAGCTTTATTTGTTTTTAATTTCCCCTTACTGAAACAAGCTGGTGAATGTTCTCGAACTCGTGGACGAACCTGCCTAATAGTAAGCCCCAATTTCCTTGATTTGACTTGTCAATTTTTCCTACCGCACATTCTACGAATCTGTTATGACTAATCACCACCATTTTCTCCTGTTTCACAATATTTTGTAATTCAATTCAGCCTGGCACGTTTGTCACACCAATACTACTATTAATTTTTTGTCACCCCTCAACTAATCTGTTATTCTACGTAAAAATGTATCCACCACATAACTGGCCATTATTGTAACGACAATAAATATTATATTTTATAATTGTAAGAACCTGAAGAGAAATTATTGAAAAGAATATTCTTCGTTCAGATTGACTTTTGATTCATGATATGGGAATATTTCACACTATTAAATATAACAGTATAATTAGACATCAGTTGTATGCGTAAATTTGTGAATAAGGAAAGTAAATGCGTGATTATATCATTCGAAAACTTTGTACAAATATGTTGCATGCTTCTCGTTGTTTTATTTCAATTTATAAATGGAACCAACTGCTTCAATTTGTCTGCTAACCCTTAGTATGCCAGTGACAATCAAAGTGTTAGGTTTATCAAAGTCATGGTTATAAAGTTTAGTAGCTGAATGAACTTATAAACTAACAATTCTTCTTTAAATAGGTGACCGATTTGCTTGGAGAATGTTTAGTTTACAAATGAATGATTATATTGGTATGATAGCAGCATTTAAGCAAATCACGAACATCATTCATCAAACAGCATCATCGTTTGCTGTAACAAAACGTGAAACAAAGAGTAACAGTAAAACAGTGCGAAGTCCTTTAAGAAGAATATAATAAGCCTTATCTTTGAGTTCTAACAACTGATGCATTGATCTGGATTGGTGGAATGGCGTTTAGACCCATGATGGAAATTGTGGAATACAAAAGCACATTCTGTGGTGAGTGCTACTTATAATGAGATATAAGTAGTATATCAGTAAACGAATTCGGAAAAGTAACAAGATTAGGTTTACCGAATTTATGTACCCACAATGCGTTTGTCCTAATAAACATTGCTTCCTTCGAGCCTCATAGGTCTTTTCTTCTTTACAATAGCAGTAAAGTAAACCGCATAAATCAGGAAGAATATGTGAAGGTTAATATGTATGTAAAACTCGAACATTTTGGTGGTATGAAATTCTATATTAATTTTTATACCCGATTCATCACACAATGAAAAAGTTTTATTTAGTAGATAATAAATAAATGAATAAGTAATAATTAGTATGCAATACTGTCACACAAACTGGGATATCTACAGATGGTAACCGACAATTTTACAGAAGTCTCAGAGAAGATTGAACTTTAAATATAACAGAGAAGACAGAAGTGGTGAAGACATCTAACCACCAGCACCCACAACAACAAGAAGTACTTGTCATCATTAACAGGAGAAATCTAAAGTAAATTGCATCTTTTAGCTATCTAAGTAGCGTCTTTTCAACTAAAGGCGGCCTAGATGAGAATGTAAAAGGCAGAGGAGTAAGAGAAATAAACACCTTCATTATTCTGAAATCAGTCTGTGTGTGCATGCTGGCCTCAGTATAAGGAAAAAGAATCTGATTTTTAACAGTAAAGCCAAATGAGTGCTTCTATAGGGTCCGGAGACTTGGCGTGTCACGAAAAGCATATCCAACGGATTGTAGACTGTCATCAACAGCTGCCTACAGTAGTTCGATTAAGATGATCAGATGACCTGCAGGAAAGGATTGATAGCAATGAACTCTGGTGGTGAATCAACCAGGAACCTATCTCAGCAAATATGCAGAACAGAATGGATACATTTGGATCAGACATTTAGAAGACAAATTTCGCGTGGTGATATTGTGGTGAGAGATGGTTGCTAGCCAAATTGGTTGACAGTAATTGAGGTCAATGTTAGTCATGTGAAAACAAGGTCAAGATGGACAGGCGGATACAGTTAACATATAGATGAACTGATACAGCCACAAGAGATGCAAGGTTAACTTTCTTGAAACAACCAATACATATCACTTCGTAGTTTCTTTACAACCGCTTAACAACTAACATGGTAAACAATAATGAAATAAAGCTCATGACAATTACTTGTAGATACAGTTTGCAGTAGATTCCACAGAATTTCGTCCTCTTATCGTAGGTACAGGGATCGAAAATGTTCGTCATGTGAGAGAAAGAGATGTGACGTATAATGTGCGTTTGATGGCTGACCAAAATCTTTGAGCTGTCAACTGCATAATCTGGTCACTCTTGAATGGTAGGTTAATAAAGATAACTTTCTTTGGTACAGAGGCTGGCTTTTCTAGATGAGGTCTATCCTTACTGTGACAATTGATAAAGTTTTCTGGATAACCATTAGCTAATAAAACTGAATGTATATGTCGAAACTCATCCATCGATGTGTCACTCGTGCAAATTTTTCGGGCCCTTGAGAACAAACATTTCACTAGGGAACGTTTATACTGGATAGGAACAAAACTGGTGGAATGAAGATACTGTCCACTCCATGTCTGTTTACGAAAAATGGATCACTTAATCGTTGCCTCGCCTCTCCTGGTCACTGTAATATCCAGAAACCGAGTTTGTTATGCGGTTCGAGTTCGGAAGTCATTCGGATATTTGGATGAATATGATTAAATAGAGTATTAAAGTTTTCAATAAATTTACTTTTATTACCACTTCGGTGAGCCATCAAAAGCACATTATACGCCACATCTCTTTCTCTCACATGACGAACATTTTTGATCCCTGAACCTACGATAAAAGGACGAAATTCTGTGGATTCTACTTCAAACTATGTCTACAAGTTCACCTGCAGTTGCGGTGACACTTATATAGGCAGAACCAATAGAATGTCCCAATGTTGTCGAAAAGGACATGTTCCGAAATGGTTATTAAAACATATAGAAAATCTCAATGCAATTGATCTGAATGGAAATCCAACATAATTCATTGCAAAGCACTTATAATGTCAGGTCACAAAATCAATATTAATGACTATTTCACAATTATTTCACATAACTTTAATTCAAGGTTGGTTATTGAATGTGATGGAAGCACTTTGGATTATTCACATACAGCCTAAACTGTGTGTACAAAAAACAAAACCTTCACCTACCATGGACTACTTGACCTATTTAAATATGATTGATCATTAGTATGTACTTTTGTTTGTTTTATATAACTGAGTAATTGTCATGAGCTTTATTTCATTATTGTTAACCATGTTAGTTGTTAAGCGGTTGTAAAGAAACTACGAAGTGATATCACCTCGCGAAATTTGTCTTCTAAATGCCTTATTCAAATTTATCAAAGGGACTAATTGTTTTAAATTTCTCAAAGGAATGGATATAGATTGGAAATACTCTGAGAAGACCATTGTGACACTGCGCTTCAAGCGTTAGCATGAAACCAGAATAGGAAATGATGATCTGAGATGGGTCAGAGGGTGACATGGGAAGGATCATTTGAGGGGAAAATGAAAAATTGTGGAGAAATGTGTAACCAGACAAAAACGACTACATAAAATACACTGAAACATAGACGTTCTGCTGAAGCCGCATGTTCTGCTAGAATCTCAGTGGAATAATAATAACGATAACAGTAATGGTAAATAATACTATTTCCTTTTGTGCATATCATCACTTCCTGGCTCAAGAGTAGTTTTGGTGAAACATTTGAGTATTTCATGTGTATCAATAATTTATCTGAGACTAATTTCTGATACAGACCCGGTAATCTCAATACATATCCAGTGTGCATCAAAATGTCATACAGTACGCTTTACGTGGTGGTTTATCACACATTTCTGAATTTCGGTGTATATTTCAAATAACGTGTAAAAAAGCGGCTGGTAGTCTAGCCAGAATACTATTTTTATCATTCAAAAACAAAGTGTGAACCAGACAAAGTCTATTTGATCCCTACCTGTCTATTAATTTATCTATTTTTATCTGTCCATCAAATGATGCATAAGCTTGAAAATGAATGAAGGTATAAGTATATCAGTTAGGCGTAAGTCTAGTCTGATATCTGTTTGCTATCTGTACAGTTCTGAAGACGTGAAGCGAATAAAAGTGGCTCGAATAATAAACTTACCAAAACTTTTATTTTCTATCACTCTCCACGATTTGCTTGAATCATTGTTAATATGTGCAGATAAAGTAAGGCTAGCTGGTGAATACATACGGCATGGAGAAGCATGTGAATTCATTTCATTTGTAGGGGTTTTCACATGGAAAAGATCGTTAAATGATGCATCCTATTTGATGAATAAATGAAGCAAATTACGGAAAGTTAGCTGAATAGAATGAAATAAAACATTTATCTACTTGTGCCTCCATTTATAAAACTAAAATTAATGAAATCTAGCAATAATCAGCTTTTCAAAAGTTATCCTAAGAAAATATGGACAATGTATTTTACAACGAATCGTCCCACACTATCGACTATCTAACAGTATTTTGTTATTCTATACATTTTTCATAGTATTTTTCAAGTATTGGTTTGAGGGGTTTGGTTGGTTGCAGGTTTGATCACAAACTGATATCCGTTAGAGAACCAATGGAAAACAAGGAAGTAACCAACAGTTTTTCGTTCGTGTTTTGGACCTCTCATCAGCATGCATCAGAACCCGAACCCAGGACGGGCAGGCTACGAGGCGAGCTTGTGAGCCATTAAGACACAGGAACTGAATCCAATGGCCCATAAATTCCAACTTCTGCTAATTCGTGATATATATTCACTAGCCACTGTCGTAGGCAAGCAACTGTTCTCTTAACTAACCTGACACACCGGGCTGCTCAGGACTTCTCATTAAAACTACAGGTAATTTCTGTAAACAGCCAGTCGCTAGTGAACATCAGATAGTATTCATTTATTTATTGCTGTGCGAAGAAAGGAATAGGGACAAATTACTTTGAGTTCTATACTTTAATAAAGTCTCTAGTTTACATCCTTCATATGATTTTTTATTTTTGGCGGGCTTTTATTGCGTATCATCTAGAGAATCAAGGCTAGCAAATACTTAAAAACAAGTAAGAAGTACATCAGGGGAAGTATTTTCACTCAGTTCCTCTTTTAGATTTTAAATGAGACAGTCAATTGAGAAAAAAATGGTCGAAGTACACAAATTTTCAATAAACATTCTAGAAACGCATTGTTTCTCAGGTCCGTAGTGCATCTCCCTAGATAGTATCCAAAATCTATAGCATAGTCCACCTCTGCTCTTCAAAATGGCAATTGTTACTGTTTGTCGGTTTTTCTGCAGGAGTATTAGGCATTTCTGAATCTCGGTCTTTTTTTATTCCTTCACGTTCCCGGTGGAACATAGGGCTTCAAGCTACAGGCTTGAAGTTTCTGTAGCAGTGTTTATTTTTACAGGATGGAGTCACTAGCCTCATGCCTAACCTTTCCTTTTTACAAGCTTTTTATTTCTGGCTTAGCGAGGTGAAGAAGTGCGTTGGCCGGGGATCAAACTCGGACCATGTGCATGGTCGGCTAGCGTCCTAACCGCTGTGCCACCGACACACAAATCTTGGTTACGTAAGGCAAAAGTTAACATCTTGGTCCTCGTCTACTGCTAATGTCTAATATTTGTTGAGCTTACTAGTTGTCTACCCTGTCCTAATCCTGGGAAAAGAGGGAAGGTTGGGAGTGGGGCTAGCAACCCTACCCCAGAAAATTAACACAGTCGCTACAGGAAATCCAAAGTATAACAAAAATTTGAAAAACAAACTTATTTTTCACTGGAATCGGAGAAACGGAATGAAACAGGCTGATGAGAGCATTTGGTCAGTCAGCCGATTTGTCTTTTTTAGATGAAAGCAAAAGTAACCACAGGGACGTGGAATCTTCACACTACGTTTGGACCTTAGAAGGCTGCTCAGGTGGCCAAAGAAATGACAAATGGCATAGAAATGCTAGGAATCTATGAAAGTAGATGTGATGAATGTGGACTATCCCTACTGTTAACTTGAGAGTCAATAATTTCCTCCAGTATTATGAAGCCATGGCCAATGAAGCAGAACAAGCAGCAGGCAAAGGAGACCTCGCAACACTCTACCAAACAACTAGGTACCTCTCAGGCAAAAATTCGTCACAAATTAAGCCAGTGAAGGATGACAATGGAAAGTCACTCACCAAAGAAGTGGAGCAAAGGAAACAGTGGGCTGAACACTTCAAAAGACTACTAAACCGACCGCCACCTACAACGCGCTCAACAATACCAACAACGGAAGCAGAATTACCAGTGAACATCAACCCCCCGAAGAGAACAGAAGTCCTGAAGGCAATCAAGATGCTGAAAGCTGGAAAAGCAGCAGGACCAGATGGAATCCCAGCAGAGGCATTGAAAGTGGACCCAGAGACAACAGCAGACTTGATGACGCCACTACTGGAGAAGGTGTGGAAAGAAGGCAAAGTACCCGAGGATTGGAAGAAAGGATACTTATTCAAACTACCAAAGAAAGGAGACTTAAGTCAATGCAAGAACTGGCGCGGAACTATGCTCCTGTCCATCCCAAGCAAAATACTAAGCCGCATCATCCTGGAAAGGATCAAACAAGCCCTGGATGAAAAACTTCGACCGGAACAAGCTGGATTCAGGAGAAACAAGTCATGTATTGATCAAATCGCCACACTACGGATCATCATTGAACAAAGTTTGGAATGGCAGTCACCTCTCTATCTCAACTTCATCGACTTTGAAAAGGCCTTCGACAGCGTCGATCGAGAGGTGATTTGGCAACTACTTCGCTACTACGGGGTGCCGCCGACAATTATACATCTCATCCAACAGTTGTATGACAACGCTGCATGCCAAGTAATCCACAACGGGAAGCTCACGGAATCCTTCGAAGTGAAGACAGGAGTAAGACAGGGTTGCCTACTATCGCCAATGATTTTCCTGATTGCAGTAGATTGGATAATGCGACAGACAGCGGGCAATGAGGAAACAGGCATAAAATGGACTCACACAAAGAACTTGGGGGATCTGGACTTCGCCGATGATATATGTCTGATTTCCCACAAACTGGAAGATATGCAAGTGAAAAGTAACAAGTTGGCAGAAGAAGCATCAAAGATAGGACTCCAGGTGAACATAGAGAAAACAGAGGTGATGAAGATTCCTGGGCAAGAACAACAACAACAGACAACAATCACCATAAATGGGAGGAACCTGAAAGAAACAACCTCTTTTACCTACCTGGGAAGCATCGTTTCAACTACAGGCGGAACTGACGAGGATATCAAAGCAAGGATCAGGAAAGCAAGACAAACTTTCACTATTGTCAAGTCTGTGTGGAGGTCAACATCATTCAGCGTCAAAAATAAGATCGGGATTTTCAACTCCAATGTGAAGTCAGTACTACTATACGGATCAGAGACTTGGCGTGTCACAAAGAGCACCTCAAACAAGCTACAGACCTTCATTAACACCTGTCTTCGCTCAATGCTCAAGATCAGATGGCCGGAAAGGATCAGCAACAAAGATCTCTGGGAGCGAACCAACAGAGCAGGAACCGATTGTGAAACAAATAGGCAGGAAGAAATGGAGATGGATTGGCCACACTCTGAGGAAACCATCAAGTGACATCGCTAGACAAGCCCTTGAGTGGAACCCGAAAGGGAAGCTGCGAGTTGGTCGTCAGTGCAAGGGTCACTTGGAGGAGGTCATGTGAAGAGGAGATGAAAACGTGTGGGCAGACTTTGAGCCAGGTGAAGACTCTAGCAGAGAATCGAACGCAATGGAGACGCATGGCTGAAGCCCTATGTTCCTCTAGGAACTAAAGGAAATAATTATAAATAATTTACTCTGGCTACCTAGACGAAAACCACGGGGACACTTGGACGGTCACTTTCGTAACATCATCAACAACAACTGAAGCGCTTATACAGTGGGAACCAATCTCCTCCGGAATAATGACATCAAGATTCAACTCGAAAAGAAGGAAAGTAACAATTATCCAAAGCTACATTCCCACAAACAATGTACAACAAGCGAAGAAGGAAGATTTGTATTGACAACAGCAAACAGTAATGGACAATATCCCAAATGGTGACATCAAAATCCTTATGGGGGATATGAATGCTGAACTGAGAGCAGACTATACAAGAAAAGAATTCATCATGAATCGAGAGGTTGTAGACAAAATGAATGAGAATGGAAAACTCTTCACAGACTTCTGTGTATTCATTCAGTCGTTTGGTGACTGGAGGTAGTGTATACAACCAGAGGGATGTACACAAAGTGACCTGGATTTCACCTGTCGGACACACGGAAAATCAGATAGACTTCATCTCAATGCTGCTCAAGAAAGTGGAGACGATGTAGGCTGAGGCCATCATCTGGTGCAATGAAACTTCCAAAGTGAAAGCCTTCGAAACCACTGGAGTCAGACCCCAATTCAAGTTCAACACTCAGAAACTGAAAGATGAAACAACAAAAGACGTATTCACTGCAGCCATCAGGACAAAGTTGGAGACACTACGTAGCGTCAGTGAGGAAACCTGTGTGGAATAACTCTGAAAGTGATGTTGAAGGAAACTTATGTATCTGTTTTAGGGAGGAAGAAGAAGCAAGACAAAGATTGTCTATCTAAGGACACGTGGAGGCTAATAGAGGGAAGGATGATGGTGAAACAGAACCAATGCAAAGAAGAACAACTTAAGGAGAAGCTGAGTTCAATCTACAACGCACTGAATAAAGAAGTGAAGAAGAGTGTCAGGAAAGATAGAAATCAATTCTACAACACTGTCAAGTGAAGCAGAGCGGGCAGGCGACAGGTAAAAGAGACCTCAGAACATCATATCATATAACTACGTCCCAATCCAGGAAGAGATCAACGCAGAGGGAACCAATAATAGGAGATAAGGGGAACCCAGTCACCGAAGAAAAGAGACTAATAAAACAATGGGCTAATCATTACAAAGGACTCTTTAATCGACTATCACCTGCAACTCGCCCAGAAATACTACCAACAGCACGCACAGGACTGCCAGTGGACACCAGTCCTCTAGCGAAAGCAGAAGCCTTGGATGCAATTAAGCTACTGAAGTCCGGGAAGGCAGCTACATGTGAAAACCAGCAGGTTGGCAGAAGAAGCAAGGGAGACGGGACTTCAAATGAACACAGAGAAGGCAGAGGTGATGAAGATAACTAACCAACAACAACAAGCATCAACCAATATCGACGAGAGAAATTTGGAGATCACTTCTTCCTCTTATCTATATATCATCATTTCAAATACAGTAGGCACCGATGAGGATATCAAGGGCAAGACAAACCTTCATAATTGTAAATTCAGTTTGAAAGTCTGCTGTACTCAGAATAAAGAACAAAATTCGGATTTTTAAAACCCATGGTAAGAAAGTCAGTGCTTCCCTATAGTTCAGAAACTTGGAGTGTCACAGAAAGTATTTCCCACAATCTGCAAACTTTCATCAACGGCTGTTTTTGTTTCATACTAAAGACCAGATGTCCAGAAACTATGAGAACAAACTAACCGAGAACTTATTTCTTAAGAAATATGACGAAGAAAATGTAGATGGATTGGAAATACGCTGAGGAGACCGTTGAGTGACATCACGTGTCAGGCCGTCGAATGGAACAAGAATGGGAAACGGTGAGCTGGGCGTCTGAGGAGGATATGCAGGAAATAATGTGAGGAGGAGATGAGAGCTTATGAGTTGGCTAATGAGAGCTGTAGAGAACAGGATAAAGGGAAGATGTGCTGTTGAAGCCCTATGTTCCACTTGGAATCAAAGAGAATAATGATAATTATACTTGTTTGACTTTATTTTATCAACAATGTTGATTGAAAGTGCACAAAGGGAATTTTAATTTTCTGTTTATTTTGTTAACTAACACGTTCTATACAAACCCATTATTCCCATATGTCGACCCCGTTTAGAGTTAGTCTTCTGTGTGATTCATAAAAACAACCTCAATTTTTATTAACCATCAGCAGTAAGCTTATGAAGTAAGAAACAGGGCCGTGAATTACGACATTATGTCTGTCATCCATAGCTGTTCAGTGAAATGATACCGAAGTGTGTATCCAGCACAGTAATTATGTCGACCTAAAATTAGGAAGAACGTATACTTGAGATTAATTTAATAAGAATGCATTTAACTTCTTTTTTACTCACATAATCGCCATTCATTTCGTGGTAACTCCTTGAAGGTGAGTTAATAAGTGGTTCCCTACTAGTGTTTCGGGAGCTTTCGTCTGTTTGGACCATTCTTTCTTGGTACTGTTGTATGTTAGCCACCTGTGTTCTATTTAATGCCAAAGGAGGCTTCTGAGGAGAGGAGCAACGACTTCTTGACTTGTTAAAACATTTTAGCTTTTCATATATATCAAGCAAGAGAGATGAAGGACTTGAATCTCTTCTGTCGATAGAATTATCAGCAGGAACGTCGTATTCTGTGTTTAAATTTCTGTAGTTGTTGTCATACGCTGCATCTGGTACTGCTCCATCAGATATCTGCTGATGAATCGTTGTTTTGCTGTCCCAATCCACTGGGACCGTGGTTTTTACTGAATCACTAGATTCCGCTCTTTCAAGGTGATCTTTAGGTTTAAAGTCACTAATAGTAGAATCTTCTGAAGGACAGTCATTTCCATTTGCACACTGGTAAAGGCCATTGACATTTTCTTGGAATCTTACAGCATTTTGTCTGTTTTCGCATATACCATTCGCATCAAGTGCTAAAATAGGTGATGCACTCTTTTCGGACCTACATTTCTTATCTTTTTCAGAAGATGAGAGATTTCGACTATGTGGCCTTGGTGGCTCAACCAAGTGATGGTTACAAAAGTCATGTGAACTGGCATTTAAATATTGATCTTTCAATCCATTACAACATCTTGCCCGATGATGCGCTGATTTCGGTGGTAGAGGTGGAGTGGTTGAAGTGCATTTTCCGCTGTGGTTCATTAAAAAGGATTCCGATGGTCCTAGGGACCACTCCGAAGCATTCGGATCAGTGTTCACTGCTTGATGATTTGTTGGAAATGTCTTATTGATAGTCGATGAATGAGTAGTAATTCCTGAATCATTAGAACTATTTTGACCGGTTGGTGAGTCGAAAACTGTAAAACTGTCTTGATTATCCCCCTTGTTGTTTTGCCCCATTAAAGACGACATTTTTGTTTGAGTATTCGAAGGTTTAGGGAAGTATCCATTTCCATTTGGTTGACTTGTTTTTTTCTCAGATTCTATGAATTGACTTTTTTCAAATGATGGAAGTGGTTCAGAATTGAAGCTTTCAGTTGTACGACTCCTTGAATTACCTTTGAAAATACAGGGAAACGGATTTAACCGTTGTGTGAGTGATAGTTTTACTGGTGAGGGTGTACGTGAACTCTGTTAAGAAAACAGGGAAACAAACAGATAACTGTTACAAATTTGATTTTGTACATTAAGTTTACTGTAGTCTTTTGTAATAAAAGCATTTTGTATTTAACATACAATAAGTATTTATGTTTAACCTTTATGAGTAATGCTCATACATTTCCAGGGTGCATCAACTGAGATTAAATTAGTCATCAACTGTCTCTTTCTTTGAAACCGATTCATTTTGCAAATAACAAATAATTAACCTGTTCTCTTGTGAACATCTCTTATACGACTGAGTATTTATCATACTACTTACTTAATGAGTAAGAAAGATAACGAAAATCAATTTTAGAAGTAACCAAAATATAATGCTCTTCTATAGTTTTATAAACATCATTAATATGTCCAAGCTGTTGACTGCCGCATTTTCTGTGTGGAGAACAAGTGACAGTCTCATTGTTTTTGAATTATTCAGAAATGTTTTCCAACTATTCATTAAAGACACCCAAGATGCTACAAGATTGTAAAGTGAAGTTTGAATTGGCTTACTATGCTCACTTAACCTGTGAGTACAAAATACGATGTATTACTTTCTCTTTGATTACTGTTATTATCATTTGCTTTTTTCTACAAAATATTGTTTTGTTATCAAGAGCAAGAACTCGGTAACAGCCTCTAAACATCAGTTAGATATATCCGACATCAGTTCTGTTGACAAATCAAATTTGCAGTCTACGCGGTTTGAGGTGATCTGAGTCAAGCCAGGTACATCACTGATGAGCTTGTCTCCAAACGAGCGTAATGGCCGTTTGGTGCTTTGATCACTACAATCCGGGTATCAGACACTACTGGTTGATATGAATGGCATACAACTACTCATTTCAATCAATCAGTAGTATATGACTTTACTCATTAGTTCTATTGATCACTTGACAAACATCAATGTCAAAACACATCTGCCCAAAGCTGTTTAATGACCCAAATCTCTTCCAGCAGAATAGCCTGAAGTCACTAGCCTGCACAACCTAGGAAGTTAATGAGAACTAAAAAAGCAGTCAACAATTCGAAAACAGTAGCTGCTGATTAGTGCTCTTTGTCAGTGGTTTCGAATTTTTTAGGAATAATACAGAAATGCTGAGTGACAGTTTGTATACTTTCTTCTCCTGAACTTAGAAAAATGTTTCTGAAATTTAGGTATTGATGGAAAATGTTTCGTTGTATACATGAATGAAAATATTCCATAAGGAGCAGAGTAATATTTCAGTAATAGCTAACTTGCCCTGTCAAATGCTGAACGCCTGAAATATGGTTTTGTTTTGCTTATCTGAAATGAAATAATAAAGACAAAATAAATTATCTCATAAAGGAGTATAATTGTAAAATTTTGATTTTACGAGACTAATAATTGAGAATATCGTGAGTGAAATCAAATACTAAGTGTTGGGGATCTACAGTAAAAAAGACAGTATATTGCAAACGCAAAATTAGAAGACAAAAGTAACTAGGGATTCTGTTCAAATTTTTAATTTTTCTAAACTGTGGATTTTTTATTATGATATGCACTGGACAATAACGTTGCGATTGTCACATGAACATCGCCTGGTATTCATTTGCTGGTCTTGAGCCTGGAAAAGAGGTGAAACTGTACGTAAGCTTAGCAACCCACTCCCATCAGAAGATAATACCTTCCCCACAGAGACTTCGAAGACCGGACAAAATAAACTTATTCCGCTCTGTGATGAGGGAAGTTTCCTCAGTTGCAGGACACGTGATATTGACGAAGGAAAGTCTTCGAAAAGTCACTTGACCAGTATGTCTCCTTTTGATGAAAACAGAAGTAAACGTTGCGATGTGAAATGTGCAAGCTATGTGGGAGGCTGTCTAGTAAGATTACTCAGATTGTACAGGGAACGAAAAGATACGATGTACGTGAGTAGATTCGTAAGATGAAGAATGATCCTGTAATTTAACTTTGTCAATATTCTACTCCGTTAATCGAGGCGACAACCACGGGTGTGGCGATGGAGTGATTTCAGCGAAAACATTATAGGTTCTCATGCAGCACAAATCAGTCTTTTCCAGGACTAATACACCAAGTTTCAAATCGAAAGCACTAAAACTTACAATTGCATAATGCTATACACCTACAAACAATATCGGCCAAGCGAAAGAGGACTTCTACTGACAACCGTAAGCGGCTATTGATAAGACCCTATCTAACTGACACGGATTTTCAACACCAACGTTAAGCCAGTTCTTCTATATGGGTAAGAAACTTAGCGTGTCATGAAAGGCATTTCCAATAGGTTGCAGACTGTTATCAACAGCTGTCTTCCCAGACTCCAAATTGAAGATCAAGTGGCCAGAAAGGATTAGCAACAAGAAACTTTGAGAACAAAGCAACCAACAACCCACTGCCCAGCAAAAATGAAAAGAAAACGGAGATTGATGGAACATAAGCTGAGGAGGCCATCAAATGATATCACGCGCCAGTATGTAAGTGGGACTCAAACAGGAAATGACAGGTTAGGCGTGTGTCCGAGAGTGACGTTCAGGAGATCGTGTGAGGTGAAGATCAGAGACTATGTTCAGTCGTGTAACCGGCTAAGGACGACAGCAGAAATTAGGACGAAGTGGAGATGTGCAGCTGAAGCCCTGAGTTGCACTCGGCACCCAAGGGAACAATAATAATATATCCAGTTAGAGACATCAAAATCCTGACGGGTGATATGAATGCTGAACTGGGAGCGGAGATCAAGGGGAGAGAACTGATTATGGGTTGAGAGATGCGCAGTGAAATCAATGTGAAAGAAGAAATCATTGCAGACTTCCTTGCTTTTAACCATTTGTTGGTTGAAGACAGAGTATACATCCACAAGAGTATCCACGAGGTGATGCGATTTTAATCAGACAGATAGTCTAGAAATCCAGCAGAATTCACTTTGGTTCTAAGTAAGTATAAACGAAGTTTACTGGGCATAAAATCAAAAAGAGAAGTAGATATAGGTCAGGATCCCTCTGTAGTGTAAGGAACTCTCAAGAAGACTGAGGTAGACTACAATTAAGATTCGAAGCACAAAAGCTGAAGAACGAAAATACAAAGGAAATTTTTACTGCAGTTATCAGTAAAATGTTGGAGGCATTAAGCAACATCACCTAGGAAACCTGCGTGAAAGACCAGTGGAACACTCTGAGGACGACATGGAGAAAACCAGTATAGACATCTTAGGAAAAAAGAATTGGCAAGAATAAGACAGCCTCGCTGTGAACATGCGGTAACTGATAGAAGATAGAAGGATAGTGAGGCCGAAGATGAACCAGTGTTGATATTTGAGAAAAACAAGTCATGAATGGATTAAAGTGTCACAGTATGCATCATCCTCAAACAGAGTATAGAATAACATACGAATTCGTTTCCCAACTTCATCCATTTCGTGAAGACCTTTGACAATGTTGACCGTGAAGTAATCTGGCAGCTGTTACAAACAATTATAAACCTCATTCCACAGCCATATGACAATTCCACATGTCAGTTAACTAACAGCGAAAAGCTCACTCAAGCCCTTGAAGTGAAGACAGGAGTAAACCAAGACTACCTCGTATTACTGATTATCATTCTGATTTTGGCGAACTGGATCATGTGAGAGACCGTGGGCAAACAAAGAGACCCTAAAAGATCGGGGTTTCGAGTATGATTTATGTCTTATTTCTCCAGAACTGGAAAATGCGCTAAGGAAAACCAATAGCCAAGCAGCAAAGAAGAAGAATATGAAGAAGACAAAAGTGAAGAAACTGCTCAGCCAAAAGCAGCAAGCACTAGTTGAGATTAGCGGAAGAAATCCATAGGAAATCATTTCATTTATTTACATAGTTAGGCAGCACCGTTTCAACTACACGTGGCACATTTGAGGATGTCAAAGCTAGTGAGTATCGGAAAAAAAAGACAGGCGTTCAGAAGAGATTCACATTACGGCACAAAAATACCTCCCTGTAGTCCTAACTGATACCACCAAAAAATTAAACGTAAAAATCTGTGAAAGCATGAACAAACTTTTATTGGGTCTCTTTAGCCGCACACCACCTGTCACACTTAAAACAACTACAAAAAATACAGTCACAACCTATTTTGGTCTATTACTAGGAATCATTCATAGAAATGTGAAGTTGATAAAATGAACAGAACCCACAAAGTTAAATCACTCTGTGTCATTCTGTTGCTATGTTCACGCTCTGAAATTTTGAAGTTGATATATATTTACATGTATTCATGAACTTTGTAGTCGGTAGTGACACGGTTATAGTAGGTGAACGTGTCCAGCACGAACCTTTAATAGATGATAAAGTGGTATTAATTTGGAAATAATATGAAGAAAATCTGATCAGCAGATTAGTACTGAGCCCGAATAGTCAGTGGTAACGTCTCTGACTGCAGCACTGGGTGACGCGGGTTCGAATCTCAGAAGGTTGCGAAGTCTATGCAACTAGCATGAAACCTAGGTCCAAGGCTTCCTGCCGACTGCCTCCAACCATCTAATATCATCAAATATGAAGACAATTAAGATGTTTTACACACAGTGATGCTGTCTGTTGTAGAACAGTAGTGCATCAGATATAAATAACTTTTGGTTTCTCATCTTCATAGTATTATTGGCTTATAACGTAGAATAGACTATTTCTTCACTTAAGAGCGTTAAATATCTCATTCCACAAATCCGCTTACATTTAAATGCCAGCTTTGACGTCTCATGTTAATTTTTCGATAAATAATACTACTAATATATGATAGCTGAAAATAACCATCAGGATGATAAGAACGGAGGAAAAAGTAAAAACCTGAGCGCAAAAGATATGTGACTACTGATCAACTGGATGGATGTTTAATTTTACCATAGTTGCTGTTATTTAACATGTATCACAATGGATAGTGGACTGCTGTGCGGAAGTCCTTTTTCTTAAACAGTCACATTTCACAGATCTGTTTGCTATTGCAACAGTTTGAGAATTGTTTCCTTTAATTTTATGATATCTATATTCTCTTAGACACTTAAGTGGTCAAGATATCTGTAGGCTGTATAGAAATCCCTAAATCTGATTAATTCCGTTTTATATAGGTTTGCAAATCACAAAAATTAAAAGAATTACTAATGTACATATGGATCAAGTTATTTAAAGACATTACGACTAACTTACCCAACTTGAACGCCTTTTACCCATTGTTAGCGCTTCTTCTCGTTTACGTAGAACCAACATACCAGATGACTGGGTACTCTGAATAATTAATAAGGGGTAATCTTTAGGACGCAAAATCCGACCTATAAATTAAACGTGCAAGATAAACAATTTAAGCATGAATATGATATTAACACCTTTATTCTAGACAACACATTATACAGAATTTTGAGGGCATTTAGATTGAAAAATATTTACTCTTCGTATATGATCTTCAGGGAAAATAGTATTTAGCAATACACCGGTTGACGTTAAGGTGCTCCGTCTGAAGCAATATCCAATACTCTGCGATGTTCACCCCTCACTTCATTTGAGGAGTGATCTGCAATACGTTGACAGTAGACTAAAAATATGTGCGAGATCATGTAGCAATCCAAAAACATAATTAGATGTTTAAGACTGTAAGAAATGGAGAAGAGTTTATGCATTGTACTGGGTGTAAATCTAGGTAACCAGTGATTAGGCAGGTCGTCTTTCATAGGTTAAGTGACATATCGCTTTACACCTACTCATAAGATATGTAGGAAATTAGTAATTTTTCCTCCTCACTATTATTTCGAAGAAGAGTGAACTGAAGAATCCGACTGTTATGTTATTTTTTAGCCTAGGTGGAGATGCACCGTGAGCTGCTTGTTAACAAAGGCGCTCAGTAATATGGTGACTACAAATTAAACTTTTTGAGTTGATGTGAGATAAACGGAAGAAGTGAAAGTGGATTTGGCAACTATGAATGAGAGATAACCAGACCTATGTCAAATTTAAATATCTATCCTTCAGTGAACACAAGAATCTTTCACATTTTGGACAGAGGTCGTAAATTTGATTTCATCTGTTAGTTGATTGCCTGAGATAGTTCAAGTGTATTTGCACTGTGCATATCACCGAAACAAGTAATAACACTTTTAAGTGCACAGATATGGTTGAAATTCAGAACTTTTCTTTGGACTGCTTACATTTTCAAGCTATCTAACGATAATTCTAAAATCGAAAGTAACCGTTTCGTACGCCAAGTATGCTACCAATATCATCTACATCTATAAATACTGCTACATTGGGTCCATTATCGTTTGTACATTAAACGAAAAGACGGAACTTGATTTGTGACTTCATACTCATTTCCTTATTCAATATTCCAACTTGCTCAAACAGTTATAAATGCAAAGAGAAGTAGACACTGTATTCGACACATACGTATCTAAATTTATACATACATATGCATCATGGGAACTTTTCTGAATCTTCATATATGTGTGGGACTTATTCCCATGATTTAGTGTGCTTGATTCATGGTGGTGACCTGATCAAAATATTCTGATACTATTAACTGCAGTAATAATATGTTTATAAAATGTATGACTTAAAAAGATAGTGTACAATTACAAATCCACAAACAAAATATCATTTTACTTTCTTCATTTGTGCCTTCTTCCACAAGACAATAATCATTTACTGGATCACTTGAACCCGCAACAGTTAGTATCAGATCAATCAACTCTTCACTGCATGTTGTTTTTGCTATGTGAAATTGTCTAATGGATGCCTTTATTTAAAAATAAAAAAGTGGAATTAAAACAAAAATGGTAATTAAAAAGAACTTTTTCATAGTAATAAAGAGCAATAAGTCATTTCATAAGAAGATGGACATACGTTACTGTCACTTAACAATATCAGAACCTCAGCTTGATAATGCAGTAAAAAATAAGGTGGTATTTACCAAACTGTGTGAGCTTCACTTTGGTTGCGAACCACCCGAAGACCTAACGTCCAACAAATATACCGAAGGAAATGAAGATGGACTGGTCACACGCCGAGGAGACAGTTAAAGTCAGGCGACTGAATGGGACTCAAATGGGAAATGACTTAATAAGTGTCTGAAGGTGACATGGTGGGGATCGTGTGAACAGAAAATGAAATTTTGTTTGATGTAGTTGTGTTTTCTGAGCTGCATGGTTTATTTGCGAAGCTTTCATTTCCCTACTAGGCAAAATCGTCAGAGCATACTTCAATTTGAAGTGAACTTTTTGATTTCTCCACGAGTTTATTGGTCATCTCTCCTGGTGACCTTGAAGGTGATTGGTTGTTTTAGTATGTTTTCAAACCCTCTAGGCGTCGTGGCACAGTGGTTAGGACTCTCGCCGACCATGCACATGGTCCGGGGTTCGATCCCCTGCCGGCGCACACCCGATATCTATGGTATGCCTGAATTTGGGCAACGATATACATGCTGAAAATTCCATACCTGTACTGAAAATACGGTGTGGAATCAAGCTGTAAATCAAATAAAATAAAAAAAATATATTGGTACTGATCGTTTCCTTGACCTGAAGTTTGACCGTTTGTGTGTGAGATTTCCTTGTTATCGATCGTTTAATGTTTTCTTTGTCGATGTGTCTATTGATTGACGATTCACTGGAAAAGCAGGTTTCTAAAACCCTCTGGCATCCTTGGTGTTCCCTCTGTCTAATATTCGAACGTTGTTTGTCCCAGTCTAATTGATGTCCATAGTTGTCTGTAGGTAGTGATATGAGGGAGTGGATGTCATGTATTTCAACAGCTAGTTAATGATCATGGATACGACGACGAAGAGGACGTCCACTTTTGCCGATGTAGTGTTTTTTATTCATTTACGTTCCCAGTGGAACATACGGCTTCAAGCTAGAGGCTTGAAGTTTCTGTAGCAGAGTTTATTTTTACGGGATGGGGTTGCTGGTCTCACGCCCAACCTTCCTTCTTTACTAGTCTGATTACTGGCTTAGCGAGGTAAAGGGGGGCGTCGGTCAGCGATTGAACCCCAGACCATGTGCATAGTCGGCAAGCGTCCTAGTCGCTGTGCACCAACTCACGTTTTTTTGAAATCGTTGCAATTTTTTTGTTGATGATGTTTGTTTTATCTTCTTTCATTGTTGAGACTTTTGGTTGACATAGAGCTGAGTGAAGTGATTTTGTCGCTTTGTGTATGATATCAATTCATAAAGGTTCAAAGCCACCAGGAGAGATGACTAATAAACTCGTGGAGAAACCAAAAAGCTCACTTTAGATTGTAGTAGATGTTGCCTAGTAGGGCAATGAAAGCTTCGTAAATAAACCATCCAGCTCAGAGAACATAACTATATCAAAATCATGCACCTGAGCTACAAATATTCTGCATCAGATGTAAATGAAAGTGTATCAGGAATGCTGGAACCAGGTAAAAAGGATTGCAGTGAACAGGGTAAAATAGATATATGCTCAAAGATCCCTGTGTTTCACTAGGAACCTAGGGGAATAAAAACTGCTTTACTTTAGGCACAACGTTCAGTAATGCAGTGCGGATTACTTGATGGCATTTCAGATACACATAATTGTGCATTAATAAAAAACAGACAATGTTTTAAACTAAGGATCATTTTTTCATCGTGTTTACGTCAGATAACCAGTACTTTAATGTGACGTCAAATGTATCTGTTTAAATCAATTTCAGTACGCGGATGGAGGAGGAAATTATCAGAATGTGTGTAGAAATCCTCCACCTCCCCAATATACTATATTGATAAACACGACAGGCTATCATCAAATCTAGTATTACCAAAAAAACTATTTCACAGTGTGATAGATTCTGTACAGTCACTAAAGCGATATCAGCGAATACTTTATGGTGTTTAATAAGATTAACAGGGATAATAGATTCACTCCTTGAACTGTGTAAATCATTAATGCTTTAGGGGTAGTATTGATGGAACATTTTTGTAGAAAATAATCCCTTTTCCTAAACTTTATGTTAACAGGCAATAATTTTAGGGTGAAAGCAATCTTAGTTAAGGTACTTATTATATGAATAAAAATGAATTGCTTTCTCAGCATGTATCCAAAGCAAATACATAAATAGTTCCTTTGTTTCTTAACAGCTACTCATAAGTAACTAAAACACAACTCCTTTAAATTTACAATTCATACGGCATTCCGATCTCTCAACATAAATGTCTATTCTGAAATCATGAAGCGATAACAAAGAATAATGGTTTTCTGTATTGATTCATGGCTTCGTAATACATTTTTAAAGGTTGAGTGATTAGAAGTGTGTAGTTGTGAGTCTTCACTAGTTTTCATCATTATTTGGAGGTGATCAGGTTGTATTCTCCGCTTATTTCAAATTAATAGAACTTATTCTGCACTATTAGATTCATCTGTTATATTCAGTCTGAAATACCCTTTTTCTGACCAATATTTCACTGCTTAGGACAATATACTACTGACTGACTGATATGATTATGAGCAATAAATTGTGCTCGAAACGTCATCAGTAAACAATACTGTATAACACTGTGGGACTTTATCAAAACAAAATTTACCCATAATGGAATTACACTCTACCACAGTGCACAAGTTTTATTCTTATATCAAAACAACTATCTAAAGAACTTCATCAATAAAATCAACATTGACATTAAGTATGGTCAAAACCGTATTCCGCAAACATGAACCTCAACAGTTGTTATTTCATATGGATCAGAGACGTCAGACGATATCAGAAGAGTACTCAATAACCTCGACATCAGAATTTTCTTCAAAACACCAAACACACTACGAAACAACCTTGTCCATATAAAAGACCAAATCCCTAAAGATTTTCTATGTAATTGCGTCTATAAAATAAAATGCTTGGAATGTGATGCTATACACATCGGACAAGCATTTCGAGAAATCAAAATCAGAAGAAATGAACACCGTAGAGCATATGTTCGATCACCGAGAAACCCGGTTGAACTAGAAAAACTTGAAAAATCACCAGCTATAGGTCTACACGCTATAGAATCAGGCCACAAAATTGATTTTGACAATATTGAAATAATCCAGAAAAAGCATTTCAGAAATCACAAAGAACGTCTGATATCAGAAGTACTTCATACCAAGTGGAATACAAACTGTCTGAATAGGAATGATGAACTAAAAGAGAATGTGACCTGGTTACAACACCTCTCTCCCCCATGAAGTGACAAAATCAACACGAATTTGATAAGCAATGTCATCATGTAAACGCACACTGTTTTTATAATTTTACACACTTATCAAATCCAACAATCTACACCTTGTTTTTGTTATCTTTACCGATTGTCCAATTTGACAACAAAAAATGAGCACATACTGAGGAACGATGATTAAGTTGTTATATACAAGCTGAGATTTTGTAAATTTTTGGTTTAATGATACTTTGATAAAGCTATTAGCAACATTAAATAGCGAAACGTCATTAAAAACAATATCATTTTGTTTTTCATTCACTGGGAAATACAAGAAAACCTTTATTATAATTTTAATATTTCAGTGTTATAAATTGTGTTATTTCACCCCGTTTTACGTCGCATAACACTGTACTCCTTACAAATGTCGTTAATTGCATTTTTGTATACCTCCAATATTTCGTTACATATGCATCTCATTCTATTTTTAGGAATCCACTAATGTACATCAAAGCTAAATTTCAATTCCTGTTCACTTCAGTAATTTAAAACATACTTTTCAATGCATTGCAGTTCAGAGATCTAACAGGTGACATCCAGGTGCGAAGATTACAGTGTAAGTAGTTTTCAACAGGTATATGTGATAGTTACTGGTCAAAATATATAATGATCAATGTTGAATACATTACGTCTCTCAATTTACGACCAAATTTAACAACCAATTACATTTCAACGTGCATGCAAATTTAAAAATTTTAAAAAAGCTTTTACTCTTTTACATGAAGTAAATGGATAGGGATAGATTTAATCAATGTTTTTTATGATAACAAATAAACAGTTTATAGCATGAAATCGCCACTTACTGGGTTCGAAAAGCAGCTGTCGTAGACCTTCAGTACTCCACCTGTTTGCATATGTAGAGTTAACCTATATAATTTGATAAAAAAGTTCCAAGTTTTTATACTACATTCATGTAAATTACTGTTTCAAATATTTTATTTTTCATTACTAACAACTTTACTGCTAAAATGTTAAATGAAGGGAGTATTTTTTACATAAAGATTTATGTTATCTGGTTGTAAAGTCTTGCAGAATAAAGATTGGTGCCAAAAGCGACATCATGAAAGTCTTGAAAACGACTGTTTATGCTTTTGTGATATACATATCAGATTAACCTACTCTTTCTTTCGCAGATAATAATCCAGTGCACAGGTACTAGTGTACAATCAACAACATCCAGTACAGTCCTACAGGAGGTCAATAGCGAACCTGAATAGCTCAGTGGTAACGTCTCTGACTGCAGTACTCACTGGGTGACTCGGGCTCGAATCTCAGAAGGGACATGAGTTCCTTCAAAGTTGCAGATACGCCTTGCTGACTGGTGAGTGCTAACAACCACGATACCTAGATGGTCCCAAGGCTTCCTGCCGATTGCCTCCAACCACCTAACACCAATAATTCAAAGTGCACCGTGATGGTGAGCTACCTAGAATGGTGGCCACATTCCAAACTTGACTGATGGAATTCAGTCTGCACTAAACAAAGGACCACACACATCACACTAGTTACTAGTGTCCAATGAAATTAATGCAAGTACTTTGTGTACCTCCCTGTATCATCTGGATCCAGTGGGAGATGTTTGTAACTTGAATAATTTAATGGCAAGTTGACTTTACCGCTTTGGTACTAGATGGTACAAGTTTTAATCTTCATAAAAGCACAGGTTTTCAAATAAATGCATATATATATATCTTACAGACGAGTATTAGCAAATCCAAAATTGGAGTACACAGCCTTTTGCCTACTGATTGATCCATAGGTAATATGAAATAGTGGCGCAATAAACTGATCAGTAGTGTAGTGTCACAGCCAGCTAAGTTACTATACTACAGTAGTGCTACTAAGTTTCATTAAAAAGAAAATTTAGGTCAGTGGTTTCGTATTAATTGATGCCTCTCAATGCCTTGTAACCAAAAACTACAGAGTCCGAAACCTAATAGGTGCGTACTACTGAAGAGTCACAAACTAGGGCGAAACAATTGTCCAGTAATTCCAGGTTTTCGATACAGCAAAAATGCTATTCGAATTTGCTCTCAGAAATATTTAGTCCTTGAAGTGAATTTGTCTTTATTATTTATTCCACCAGTGCTTCTTGTTTACGATTAATTAGTATTTGGACAAAGTGATAACAACACATAAAGCAGGATTAAGGGGAATAATTGCTAATTTATTCTTCATATAACTGAAGTCTGGTAGATTTTATCATTGTTATTATGATAAGCTAATTTTATACCACATATATTCACTTATAAATGATGCAGTAATGCTCAAAATAAGTTTTGTTTTAGTGTTATTAATAATGTTCTCTTTCCTTAGCTTTCTTTCAGTTGTATATTTGAATAATTCTAGGTATCAGCATACGATTTATTAACTTGCATATGATAGAGAATGCTGAAAGTAATAAACGTCTTAGGCAGTAAATGATGCTATTTTGCAAGTTTTACACACCCTACGATCATTAATACGATGGTTCCCACCAACTGGTCACAATATTTTGGTTATCAACCCAACAGTTTTGAAAAAACTTCACTGAAACAGACAGTTTGAGATGTATATTAGACAAACTATTTAGCGAATTGGTGGATAGTGACTAGAAGTGGAATCCAGCATGTGCATTTCGCCCTTTTTGGGACTCATCACCTAGATATCTACATTCTCCACTAAGTGATAGTGTCCGCAAGTGGCCTAGTGGGTTACGTTCTGCCGTTTGGAACTATGAGTACTGGGTTCGAGGCACAGTGGGAACACCATCACTCACTGGGGAATGTAGATACATCCAGATGACAAGTCCCAAGGATGACGAAATGCCCATCCTGGATTCCACTGCTAGTTACCACCCACCAATTTACTTCAAGTTAAATAACCAGACATCGTCGAAGCATCTGCACAAGCAGCCGACATGTCAACCTTAGGATCAGTACTTCGGTCCAATCGGTCAACTGGAAAGTCTCAATTGAATTGAATGATATTAAGCTTTTAATTTACAGACATGAAGGAGTATATATAATTGTGCTGCGAATTACAACTAGTTCCTATATAGTTAATTTTGTGAGCTCACTTCATAGAAATGGGACTCTATGGGGTTATCCTCAGAAAATAGTTAAAACCAAGCATTAATAAAATACTCTCCAGCCACGCGGAAAGTCTGGGTCTGATTCCTCGCTGACTCAGTCATAAATGTTTATTTAACTAACCGGCAGTAAACTCAGACAAAAGGGAAGGTTTTGGCATGAAGCCAACAAACTCCTCCCTTCAAGAAAACACTACCTGCATTGAAGTTTCAAATTTTCGAGCTAGGAATGAGGAGAAGTACTGGTGAAAATCCTCAGTGGAGGTCTGCGAACCCAACTGCACTTCATTTAGTACAAATATCTATTAGTGTGGTACAGTGTACCATAATGTATCAATTGAATTGGTAGAAAAGTACCATACCATATTCTTCGAATTCCAGTCACAAGAGGTTATATTCAGAATAATTCTGTAATTTAAGACAGACCGAATCTCAATGTGGTACACCTTCATTTATGTGATACCATGAATTTTGACACAGACTGTCAGATAATCAAATATTACTCTTTTTCAAAAATGCAGAGACCTGTAGTTATGGTCTTTATAAATGTATGGTGAACAGTTGTCTAAGGTATAAGGCAATAGTTTAATTCCTAATAATTATGTAAACAGATCATTTTTGCTAAATCAATAAAATTTTTTCTTTGTCTCAGCAAGGCACTTAATTTTAATCCTCTTAGGATTTCGTTTTATTTCATAACTTGTACACACATGTGCATACACTAACACATAAATCATGTTTAAATATACTAGACACTTATTAAAACTATTTCACAGTCTGTCACTAATGATGTCTGTGAAATAAATTATCTAACTTTTTATTAATCACGTATGAAAACAAGGTGAATAGCGATTTATTCTTTCAACATATCATTTTCATTGTCTGACGTCATCTATCAAGCAGGAGGCTTTATTTAGTGCTGAGTTAAACATTTAGCAAACAAATTACTACTTTATGACGTAAAATAGTTTTTTTTAACTTGAAGATAACTGTAACTAATTTCACCGCTTAGTATGAATAAAAAAGTGTGAACTCAAAAATATTTTCTGTTGTTTAATGGCAATTTAGAATCTCTGTCTAATCAACTACATGTATTTAGAGATTGTATATGCTTTGGAATGATGGGGAGAGAGCCTTTACCGAAACAGTCTGCGCGCATGTTTCGAAAAGCTTGTCACTGTCACCGACAGATACATGCTTTCTTCAAACGCAGCTTTTATGAGATAAACAGATGTAGTGACAGTAGATTGTTACGTTATGGAGCGGCAATCTCCTGATTTATTCCTAACTTATGTACAAAGCAGTTTCATATAGCTCATCTTTAATTGTCTTGACTATAAGCTGTTTTCTTTGATCCCTTTATATTCTCTTTAAACATTATATCTTTCTAGCATTTTCTAGTACCCATTAAATCCACTATACTGTAATATTTGTTTTTGGTAGATCCCGTACTCTTATTCCATAATTTCATCCTACTAATATACCATATTTTAGCTTCCGTCTCCTATGCCATATCCTCTACCATCATAAACTCTAACCTCACTTATTCAATAGGATCTGTAGCTATCTATTACTTGATTGGGGGGATTTGTCATCTTGAAAACGATTCGTACTTTTTCCTTGTGTTGATTTATTAGATTTTAAACTTTGCTGTTTTGGAAATAATTAGTTCCTTTTCAACAAATTGGTAACAAGTCATAAATTATCTGATCCGTAGAACATATTTACACAAAACATTTTGAACAACCTGATAATACACATACTTTCCTTTTTTTATGCCTTTACGTTCCCAGTGGAACATAGGGCTTCAAGCTAGAGGTTTGAAGTTTCTGTAGCAGTGGTGTTTACTTTTACAGGATGGGGTTGCTAGCCTTATACCCAACCTTTCCTATTTACCAGTGTTATTCCTGGCTTAGAGAGGTAAAGGAGCGCGTCTGTTGCCGGAGATCGAATCCTGGACCACGTGTGTGGTCTGCGACCATTCTACCACTGTGCCACCGACGCACACATACTTTTCATAGGAATATAAATAGAAAATAATAAACTGTTAAAGGTTGAGCAATGAACATAGGTTAAATTAAAAAGCTACATTTTTCCACACATATGAATGCCTAGAGGTTGAAAGGTTTGCTTTATGTTGTTTTACCATTCAACTATTACAAATTATTTATGCAAAGCAATATGAAGGCGTAATTTGTCTGAATCGTGTAGTGTATTTGTGCAACACATTTCGAAAAATCTGATCACACATGGACTTTTCATAGGAATATATACGAAAGTAATAAAGAGTGGAGAGCTGAGAAGATAAATTTAGGTCAAACTAAAAAGACGTGTGGACACACATACAAAGGAAGGACTCATCGACCTCTGAAAATAAGGGCTGGGTTCACAGCATATTCTTAAATGGCTTCAAAGCAAACGGAATCCCAGAACCCATTAATGGTGGGGACGGGAGACATAGCTCCTCTTTTGCGAAACATATTATAGAGACAGGACATAAAATTGATATTTGCACGTCCTTTAAACCAGTCTGTAAAACGTGTTTGAGGCGCATCCTAAAGTTTGTGGAAGCCCTAGCAATTAGGAAGTTTAAACAACCTTTATGTGTTCAAAGCAACAAGTCGTCATCACACTAAACCTTCCTTGGTAAACTTTGATTGGTTGAAGGATTTCATCATGAGCTGACATCAGCTAGAGAACCATCGGAAAACCTACGAGTTCTGGACAGCTGTTTCGTCTTAGTTTGCGACTCTCCAAAAGTACGCACCCACTGCCAGGGTTCGAACCCAGGACCTTCTGGTTACAAGGTGAGCTCGTAGACCACTAAGCCACTGAGACCCTATCCACTGGCCAGCCCATGAATTCTAACTTCTGCCAATTCATGACATAGCGCGACCACTTCTCAATATCTTCTTCGATGAGTTACTGCCTCACCTTCAACTTGCTGTAAACTTTGTTTTGATACTATAGCAGATGTACTATTACCTCTGTTATTTGGTTTAGTGATCTTCATTGTTATTTTGACCTTCAATATGTCCTTTTAAAATGACCTAAATTTATTTTCTTTCCTATGAACTGTTTATTAATTTCATATATATTCCTATGACAAGTCGGTGTGTGATCAGGTTGTTCGAAATGCGTTGCACAAATACACTACACGATTCAGACAAATTACGTCTTCTTATTGCTTTGCCTAAATTCATAAAGGGAACTAATTATTTTAAATTATTCATGATTCAGAATAGCATTTTCATTAAATTGTATACACATTTTGAACTTTATGTATATGTGAAAGATTTAAAGCACACCAAATGGAATGAATTCCCCTCAGACTACAATGTTTTGATTAGAGCTTTACAGAAACGAAGATATAATACTTATAATAACAATGCGCAATACTTCTTTCTGCTTCCAATATTTTATCGTCATAATTTTATCATTCAAATTACTGAAGTCACCAGTGCTGGTTTTACTCTTGAAGCATCAACCATAAAATATAGTAGTCTGAAAAAGTCTGATATTTCAACTTTGACTCGAAGCAATAAAACCAATCAATACTGAAAGGCGAAAAACATTTCCATAACCAATAATTTTGAAAAATACACTCCTCAGTATTTAAACAGTTAAAAATATCTCAGTTCATTAAAACAAGAGATAAATTGACTGATACGTATATGCATGACAATCGAAAATGGATTTATGAAATATTGAGCGTTACCTGTTGTCTTTGGTTAAATCTAAAGTTCTTGACAGTATTGCATCGCTATACAGAGTAACATCAACTTCTAAACAGAGAAGAGAAGAAAGGGTAGTATGAATAAATTCAACTATCACTCACATATTTTATAATTTCATAGACTTTTGTTGTTTAGAACTTAAAGAGCAATAGAAATGGCTTATGCTTTATTTGAAAATTAAAGATAGAAAATTTTTTAGGTTGGAGGACTTCATCATGAGCTGACATCAGTTAGAGAACCATTAGAAAACCTGAGAGTACTGGAGAGCTGTTTCGTCCCAGTTAAGGACTCTTCATAGTACGCACCCACTGGGGTTCGATAACACCATGGTATGTAATAAACTTGCAGCTGACTGACGTTAACATTAGTCTGAACTGTTTAATGACTATCTTGTCGAATTACCATCTTGTATATTGATTTGTCGACTTTCTTAATCACTCCGTGAATGTCATTTATGTGATCCCCAATTGCCCGACAGAACAAATGTGGTAGGTATTACCTGCTAGGGGTTGGTTTATAATTATTGTTTCTCTTCTAATTCATGCGAAATATCTCTGATCACAGACCCATCTGTATATCAGAATTATATCTTTGTATTCCGAGTGGAACACAGGGCTTCAACAGTGCACCTCCATTTCACCCTGTCCTCTACAGTCATCTTCAGCTGTCTCCACTCAAAGACCTTTTCCTGATTCTAAGGGGAGCAACACAAAAAGTCGCTCCTCTGTAACCTATACATTCATGTAACAACCCCCTTCTCAGGCGTGAGGCTAGCAACCCCACCCTGTAAACAAAGTTGCTACAAAACTTCAGCACGATTAGTCTCCTTGCGACAAAATAAGAAGTCTACGTGGACACATAGAACGTCCGCACCATGTACGAGACTGGCAAAGATGCCCAGATTGCAAACGAGATGAAAAGATACGGAACTCAAGTACTGGGAATATGCGAAAGCAGATGGAATGGAAGTGGACTCGCAAAACTGTCAACGGGAGAGTCAGTGATATACTCCGGTCACCTAGAAGACAACCACGAGCACACCGAGGGTGTAGCTGTCATGATGTCACAAATGGCAACGAAGGTCCTGATACAATGGGAGGCGATCTCCTCCAGGATAATGACCTCCAAATTCAACTCAAAAGGAAGGAAAGTGACAGTTATACGATGCTATACACCCACAAACAACGCAGACCTCGAAAAGAAAGAAGAGTTCTACAGACAACTACAGGCAACAATGGACAATACTCCAGTTGGTGACATTAAAATCCTAATAGGAGACATGAATGCAAAACTGGGACCAGACAACACAAGAAGAGAACTCATCACGGGTAGAGAAGCTCTCGGAGAGATGAATGAAAATGGAGAACTCTTCGCCGACTTCTGTGCCTTCAATGAACTAGTGATTGGTGGCAGCGTATACAAACACAAGGATATCCACAAGGCTACATGGGTGTCACCAGATGGGCGAACCAAAAACCAAATTGACTTCATCTCAATCTCAAGGAAGTGGAGGCGCAGCCTACTGGACACGAAAGTAAGAAGAGGAGCAGACGTTGGCTCAGACCTCGTACAAGGGACAATCCTAATCAAATTGAAAGCTTTCAAAGAAACAGGAGCTGCAGATAGACCACAGGCCAAGTTCAATACTCAAAAATTGAAGGATAAGGCTACAAAGAACATTTTCACTGAAATCGTAAGGAAAAAGGCGGAGACACAAATCAACACTAGCAAAGAGACCAGCTTCGAAAAGCACTGGAACAACATGAAAGCGGTGTGGAGTCAAACCTGCATGGAAGTTCTAGGCAGAAAGAAGAGACAGGACAAACAGTGGCTCACTACGGACAAATGGAGACTAATAGAAGAGAGAAGGATGGTGAAACAAAAGATTATCCAGTGCATTGACGAGCAACAAAAACAGGAGTTGAATGCAAGCTAGAATACACTGAACGAAAGAGCAAAGAAAAGTGCCGGAGAAGACAAAAAAATATTATGAAGCTATGGCAAGTGAAGCAGAACAAGCTGCAGGCAAAGGAGACTTCGCAACACTCTACCAAACAACTAGGTCCCTATTGAAGGATGACAATGGAAAGCCAATCACCAGAGAGGTGGAGCAAAGGAGACACTGGGCTGAACACTTCAAAAGACTTCTTAATCGACCGCGACCTACAACGCGCCCGAAAATATCAACGGCGGAAGCAGAACTACCAGTGGATAACAAACCTCTGACGAAAGCAGAAAACCTGAAGGTCATAAGAATGGTAAAACTGGAAAAGCAGCCAGACCAGACGGAATCCCAGCAGAGGCATTGAAAATGGACCCAGGGACATCAGTGGACCTGATGACACCACTAATGGAGAAGGTGTGGAAAGAGGGTAAGGTAACTGCGGATTGGAGGAAAATCACCTATTCAAGCTGCCAAAGAAAGGAGACTTAAGTCAATACAGGAACTGGCGCGGCATTATGCTCCTGTCCATCCCAAGCAAAATACTAAGCCGCATCATCCTGGAGAGAATCAGACACGCCCTGGATGAAAAACTTCGACCGGAACAGACTGGATTCAGGAGTAACAAATCATGTATTGACAAAATCGCAACACTACGTTTCATCATTGAACGGAGCTTGGAATGGCAGTCAGCTCTCTATCTCAACTTTATCGACTTTGAAAAGGCCTTCAACAGCGTCAATCGAAAGGTGATTTGGAAACTCCTTCGCTATTACGGGGTGCCGCCAACAATTATACACCCCATCCAACAGCAGTACGACAATGCTGCATGCCAAGTAATCCACAACGAGACTTTCACGCAATCCTTCAAAGTGAAGACGGGAGTAAGACACGCTAGCCGCCTACTATCTCCGATGATTTTTCTGATTGCAGTAGAATGGATAATGCGACAGACATCGGGCAGCGAGGAAACAGGCATAAAATGGACCCACACAAAACTTGCAGGATCTGGACTTCGCCGATGATATATGTCTGATTTCCCACAAACTGGAAGATATGCAAGTGAAAAGCAACAAGTTGGCAGAAGAAGCATCCAGAGAAGATAGGCCTTCAGGTGAACATAGAGAAAACAGAGGTGATGAAGAATCCTGGCCAACAGAACAGCAACAGACAACAATCAGCCAGTATAAATGGGACAAATCTGAAAGGAACAACCTCCTTTACCTATCTGGGAAACATCGTTCCAACTACAGGTGGAACTGATGAGGATATCAAATCGATGATCGGGAAAGCAAGGCACGCTTTCATTACTCTCAAGTCTGTGTGGAGGTCAACAGCACTCAGCATGAAAAATAAGATCCGAATTTTTGACTCCAATGTGAAGTCAGTGCTACTCTACGAATCATAGACTTGGTGCGTCATGAAGAGCACTTCGAAAAAACTACAGACCTTCATCAACACCTGTCTTCGCTCAATACTCAAGATCAGATGGCCAGAAAAGATCAGCAACAAGGATCTCTGGGAGCGAAACAACCAGGAACCGATTGTGCAACAAATATGCAAGAAGAAATGGAGGTGGACTGGCCATACTCTGAGAAAACCATCAAGTGACATCACACACCAGGCCATCACTCGAATGGAACCCGAATGGGAAACGGCGAGTTGATTGTCAGTGTGAGGGTGACATGGAGGAGGTCACGCGAAGAGGAGATGAAAGCATGTGGGAAGACGTGGAGCCAGGTTAAAAGGCTGGTAGAGAACCGAACGCAATGGAGACGTGCGGCTGAAGCCCTATGTTCCTCTAGGAACTAAAGGAAACAATAATAATACTCAAAGCCCTGCCATGTAAATTATGTCACTCAGTGACCTCGTCAGGATGCGTCCGATCCATCTTCACTTTCTTCTGTATATTTATGGTATGATAAGTTATTGGTTGGTTCATTACCAGAATTCTTTGATGCTAATCGTTTCCCGCCATCTGATCTCCAGTATGGAACGAATGCAACTTTCGATAAAAACCTGAAGCTTTTTGGAAGTGCTTTCGGTGATACGCCAAGTCTTTGAACCACATAGAATCACTGAAGTGACATTAGTGTTGGGAATACAAACCCTGTTCTTTACGCCAAGTGCATCAGATTTCTATAGTGGTTTCGGATTAATGAAGCTTTGTCTTACTTATCCGATCCTCCTATTGACATTCTCATCTGTGCCGTTCGGAAATGAAATGACGTTGCTTACATAAGTGAAAGAGGTGACTTCCCACAAAATCTCTCTTTTTATAGTGATTAACGTTTGCAGTTGTTAGTTTTCGGGTATTTTCATCACCTCTGCCTTCACTTGAAATCCTGTCTTTACTGTTTCTTCTGCCAATTTATCGCTTTTCACCGGCAGACCTTAGAGCATTTATGACAGAAGGCATAGATCGTCCGCGAGAGTCAACTTGTCGGTCCAATGTATCCCTGTCGCCTGGTTGCCTTTAGCCTTTTACGCGATCCAGTCCATCACAACCAGGGATATCCCTGGTGCCAGTAGGCAGTTTTTTACTCCTGGCATTACACAGCTGTGGACGACGTTAATAAAGATTTTGGGTACACAGTAGTATTGAAGTACTTTCCAAATTACCTCAATGTAATTTGAAAAAAAGCATCATTCTTGCAAGCTATTCTTCATCAGTAAATTCACACTACCAAACACCCGAATTGTACGTTTTTCCATTAATTTACTACAACATTTAACAATCTTTTCAAATATGAGCAAAAAAGAAAATTTCACTTGTTTCTTTCTTTCTAAATATTGAAAATAAATTCATCAGTAGATATTTTAATTTTTTCTTAGTAAAAATAAAAATTCTTCTTCACAAAATCAGATCGATTCTGTCATTTCACTTAAATCAAGATAAAATACATAAATTGTCCCTGTATACACATCTACACTAAATAACATACTGAGGTATGCCAAAGTCTCATTATCTATATATAAGCATCTATGTATACCTGTGCACTGTTTCTCTTGATTAATACGTTAAATGATAAATCAATGGACTGAGTGAAAGTAAAAATGTTCATCACTTCAGGTTTTCGCATAATTTCACACAGAAGTAAAGCAA